AAGCAGAGCCGCGACCGACGCAAGCTGCGCGAGATTCACCTCTCGCTGAAGGTGACCTACCTCAAGCGACAGCTGGCGACGCTCAAGGCGGCGCTGGGTTCCCAGACCTGCACCCGCTGCCACCGCTCAACTCTGCTGTAGTTCCTAGTGCGCTTACTGACCTAAAAATGTGCAATGTTGTATTGTATATGTAGCCCTAAGTTAGATCTCAGTTAATCTATTAAATAGATTTAAAGACTTTGTATTCATGTAAAAATTAGACTGTAGTGACGTGCAATTTTGTCTATTGTGAAACTTATAATTGTTTAGGTAACATAAAGAATTGTTATAGATAAAGTTAAGAGCCAAAATTTATTGTTTGTATAATATGTATAACGTAAACAAGACTGAATAAATATATTTTTTTACATAAAATTGCATCTTCTTTAATTCCATGACCAAGTAGCAGTGCCTACCCAAATAATAACATAAACACAAGTAGAATTACCAGTATATCGTACGCCTGTCAATGCTTGCAGAGTATGTTGCATATGGCTGCTGCACAAGGTAACTGCTCCGCACTAAACATGGTGTGCCGCAGGGGTCGACTCTTGGTCCCTTCATGTTTAGTTATACAAATAAAATATTCCTATTAAGATATAGCATCTTACTTGTATTGGAATTAACAATCTCTAAATCTTCTCGATTTTTTTATAAGAAACACGAACAACTTGGGTCTAACCCGGATAGGTGGAAACTTTCGGCGAATATTTAAATCCCTACAGAATACATTATAAAACACGTGCTATTTAAGTAAATGAATGTCTAATATAATAAAACAAATCAAATAATATGATCGACATATCTTATCTCCGCACTTATTACGAACTCAACATCTGGTCGCCAACAATATTCACAATAAAAAGCAGGTGTTTAGAGCAACGAATCTATGGTAAGTACTAGAAATCACTGCTTTTAAATTAGTAAAAGATTAAAAGAAGTACCTTCGCAGTAGGATTAACTGTAAAGGCTACAATAAAAGAGTTATTTGTGTATTCAAGGCGTTCCCGTAATACATTGTGTCAATAGTTCAATTGTGGGCATTGAGGAGGGTTGCGATTCGATTCGCATCAGTATGATGTGCGTGGTGCGGTGAGATGTGATTGACATGTCAATGTAGCTGGCCGATTGTAAGCCTTTGTACAGGAAGAGTTTGGAGCCACATGTGAATACAGGAGAAGCAAACGGTACCTTGTTTGTCAGAGTCAGCAATATATGCAACGAAGCAATACTTATTCCACAATTATAATTTTTATAAAGACCGAAAGTGTGTTTCTTCTATCAATATTACAAAGGCAAAGTGAGAATTCTTAATTTAAATCACTGAAGGGGTACAGTCATAAATGTTATGTGTGCTTATTATTGCATGTATCGTATTCTTTATGGGAAGCTGAAGGTTCAGAAATTGGTAGTATTTGTTCAAAGCTTAGGATAACAAACGCAACAAGCAACTGACTCCGTGAACACTGGTCACGTATTGGTCAGCATCGGACTGTTATTGTTTGGGATAATCGACAGATCCCGTGGGACGATGACGAGCATTGACAACCTTGCATCTGCTAATGCAAGCAAATATCGCGACACAAGGCACAGGCGGCAGCGACGAGCGAGGATTCATAGAATTCGAATCATGCCACGTAGTCCCGCATTTCCCTTATTGTTATTAAAATGTGGAGTATGTTAAAGTATATTAACGTTGTAACTAACACTGCAAATATGATAAAATTGTTACAAGCATTCATTTATATGACTTGCAACAATCTCCCAGTCTATGAGCCGCAGTCACAACATCCCATCAATTGGGCCACACCGGCCACACGACAGTACCTGCTCTTTTTGCGGATTATAATCCGCTAATAGTGGGCATTGTCCACAGATGACGGACACAGACTTAAAACGGTTTCTTATTCAAAGCGTGACTCTCGTCACAATCGTAGAGACCAGCTTCACATTCTGGGAAACGCTGTAAATCATATTTGTGTAAGGTTAACATTAATAACTGCTGCAGAGATAACAATCAACGAAATGTGCAACATTCTGGACGGAGCTAAACATTCTATCATTGTGTGCGACACAAATGTAAGCTCGCTCGGCAAATATTCTTTCTTCATAAAAATTCTTGTAGAAACCATGACATTATTCGTAACACAGTAAGACGGATTTTTTTTATTATATCTACACCATAATAATAAACTTCTAAAGACACCGCATAGTCAAAGACTCGCCTACTATTCATCATTTTGATAAAACTCATCAACTAGTGGTCAATGTGTATGCTATAGAGACCAATTGAACAGCCACTCTTTGTCATAAACACATTGATCTTTCAGATATTGTCGACTTAGTATTTCATACAATTTCAGTCAAATTCGAAAGCGATAGAATCAGCGAGTTGTATTAATAGAATCATCAAGTCACGCAGGCACATGACAATGGTACAATGCACGCAAGTTCGAATGGAGCGGTCGGCGTTAGGAACCGGCCGATGCTGCGGTCAGCGCGGGAGCTGCTGACTCATTGCAACCCTTCGCACTTCTCATGAGACGAGTGTGGTTAGCAGAACAAGGATGTAGGATTTAGTGGAGCTTAGAATGTATTACCTGTTTATTGTAACCCATTTGCTAACTGAAGAACATCATTACGACGAAGAGCTTATGGTGTATTTTCCAAAGGCAAAAGGGGTAATGCAACAATAGCACACAAACACTCAGAAACAAAAGTACAGTTATCTTTCTCGAAACGTAACACAATATCTTTTTTTCTGCGAACCGTACCGATCTCAGGGACTTAATCCGTGTCTACGCGGAAGGGTTTCAAATGACAGGCGCGCGACAAATATTAATATTATTGTACTCCGACGGATCATGCAAATATACTAGTTAGGCGCTGAGTAATTGGGTTGAGTTTAGGATGATGTCAGTCGCAACTGCACTGTGATGCAGATGTCCATAGTCCGCTATAGTTGACAGTTAGCGTAATATCCTATATATCGTCGTGTTTGTGATGCTGCACAATGTGTGCATAGGTAAATTATTCAACGCATTTTGTGAACGTTATTTATTAGCAATAATAATTTCGATTACCATTGCTGTAGTCTGCCTTTAAAGTAAAACACAAACCTGTCAGCACCGCGCTATTAAATGAATAAAGCAATGTTAATAATACGAAACAAAAAAATTGGGCAACTTTGTATGATATTCGTTGATGAGCTTAACTGACGTATCTGCATGTAAGTACCAATTGCAATTTCTTTTTAATACTAAACATAGTTGTGAGGTCTCCGAGGTATCCGATGACCAAGTACTTATTTGACAGTCTCATTCCTTGGGAGACTATTTTCCAAATTTTAGAAAAAAATAACATAAAAAAATAAAAACTAATCTTCTCAGTCGCGACAATCGCAGTGCAAATAAATGATTGCGTTGTAACGTATTGTAAGGAGAGCTAAATCTTTCGGTTGAACAATCTGAAAAGAGTTTCTGTACCAGGCGACAGTTGGATCATCTTGCATCATAGGATTATTTTAAAACTACTTTCTTTGTACTTGTGTCGTCGGGGACAGAGTGCCGGTACTGCCGGTGGTCTCTATCATTGTACAACTACAGGTCTTTGAAGTATTGGACCGCCGACAAAGCACGAGACACAACAATTTGAACTTTATGCATATTGGGCTAAGGTTTTGTGTCTTGACGAGCCTTAATATTTATACTATATTAAAATATATATCTTGAAAATGTATAGATTTCTTTAGTTTTCAGTTCAAACAAATAAATCAACAAAAATTTGTGTTTAAATTTTTGTTGATTTATTTGTTTGTTCCTGTCCAATTTCAACTTGTTTAAAAATGTCCCAAGGTTTTCATTTTGCAATTAGTGCAAGTCAAGATTCTCAGAAGGCCTCCCACAGGCGTAACATGCAAATTGTATAATCTGCATTGTGTTACAGTTCCAAAGGACAACCCTTTCTGTTGCGCGGAAACAATGCGATGATTTGCAAGTTTGCCAAACAGAACTTTCTTTAGAACAATAGATACCGTTATTTACACTGTTCTAGGGATCCAGCTAGCGGGATTATATATGTATATAGCTGCAACGGTTTCTATCGTAGCTAGTCAGGTGTATCGCCTTAGTAGTTATCTGATTCTAAAAGTAAGTAAGAGATAAACCAATACCAAGTTATATATGTAGTTCTGATTCACGATGTCGTCACGATGGGCTTATATTTAGTAGTTTTTCAATTGTAGACTTATTGCATGTTGTGGATGTTGTGCTTATTGTGGACGTTATTTCAGCCAGCGTAACGTGAAAATATAATTCGTGAAGACGCATTTTTTTAAACTTTTGGAGCTGTTATTTCCTAAACTATTAACATTATCAAAAAACGAGGTTGGTTAGTAAGCCCCTAGACATTTATAAATAACTATCCTACAATATATCAAACGTTAGGGTTGAAATGAAAAAAAGCTGCCTAATTTACGTGTAGCGGGGATACCCTAATAATTTCTTTACACTTTTTGTTGCACCACTTTATCGGCGTTATTGACATACCTATTGGTGTCACATTTCATCGTTACTGAGATTCTTCGGGGACAGACACATAGACAGCCAGACATGGCGAATTTAAGGATTCAATTCATGTTTACTAAATTACTAAATAAAAAATATGAGAATATTTCGTAGTACGTACTATTCTAATGAAGTAAAGATAATATAAACTTATAAAATATTAAACTCTAGCAAAATTCTAGGATACTTACTCAGTTACCCCTTTACAAAAACAATAAATTATTTCGCACTCTAAGTCCGTTACACTAGCTACCTGCATACACCCCTTCCACTGAGCATGGTCAGTTAGACGCCGCCCCTTTTCAAACAACGCTCCCTCGTCTACTGACACTTACCAACATTCGTCATTCGTGATTTGCACGTCAAGTAAACACAACGCAAGAATTCTAAGTAAACATGGCATCATTCTGGAAACCTTATACACCAGACCAAGAGCAGGCCCTCGACCTATCGCGGCCTGCAGTGAAGGAGGAGAGAGTGTCTCCGTTACCGGCACAAAGTGCTCCTTCACCCCCTGTACCTGTACCGGAGATGTACCAGGCGTACATCGGACATCCAGACGCAGTCTCTGCACCTATATATCCAGAGGCTGCATACTACAGCTACGACGCAGTGTACCAACCAACAACGTACCCAGTGTCGACTGTGTCCCCGGTATCTGGTCACTCAAGCGACCTGTTGCTGTCCGCAACTGGAGATTGTGATACTATATCTTTATCTGACGATCGGGAGTATCAAGCTTTTGAGCAGGACGCCATGCGGGCGATGGCGGAGAAGAACGGAGGGTCGCTGTTGGGGAATAACCCAAGAATGAAGAGGGCTGTGCAGAGCACTCACTCGGCTGATGACACGTACAAGAAACAGAGGGAACGTAACAATGTCGCGGCGAAGGCGAGCCGCGACCGACGGAAGCTGCGTGAGGTGAAGCTCGCTCTGCAGACGACCTTCCTACAGAAGAAGGTAGCGGAGCTGCGCGCCAGGATGGCAGCTGGCCTGTGCAACAGTTGCCGGCAGACGTGCGACTGCTGACTGCTGACTGCTGATAGTGTGATTGTAGAAGTGGATTTACAAGTCTGTGCAATATAAACCTTTAACAAGTGATATATATTTAAGGTCGAAAATCGACAAATCGTTTTAAAGACATGTGTGCAAAATATGGTAATAATATCATATTAAATTTTATCTGTATCTACTCAACTTTAAGCGAATCTAGCTGTTTGTGGTAATTACTATGGTTTTGTAGAATGTACGAGAAATTGTTTGGTAGTGCTAACGTGGAAAGTCAATGTTATTTACTTTAAGAATTTTAATAATGAATATATTCATTGCCAAAACGACTAGGTATATTGCACAATACATGTCTCCGCTCATTGGTCGGTACCGAGCTTGTGTTGACACATTGCGCGTGCGCTTGCCGCGCCCACTCGTGTCACGAAATTATCTGATGATAGTAATTTTAGGTCGATGCTTTTAGGAAGGTCGGTGTAGTAATTATGTTTTATGCCAATTATCTACATCTCCACGTACAATAGTATAAAATATACCTAGACTTAGCTTATAGCGGCTTTCCTTAAATCGTACACTATGAGTCGTTAATTATATGCCATATTTATGTCTCTAGACACGAATCTATATACAGGTATCTTACTACGTACTTAGAGGTATAGAATGAACCACTAAAAGTGTTACATGAAGCAGTAGATCAATACTCAGGACTCGGCGCGACATACTGCGGGCAACGCAAGGGTTTATGTATTGCGCTGATTAGGGGAGCACCCTCACTCAGTTACTGCAGCACCCCGGCCACATCACCCCATGCAACGTGACTGCTCCGTAATAATACAATCTGCGATACAATGTAAAGAACAATATCCCAAGGTCTGATAATACGATGCAGAACAATGTGCTTTGCTCTGTAGCCATAATAAAGATAGCAATGTAGCGAGGTAACTAAGTATATAGGTAGGTATATAAGAACGGAGCGCGGCGTGCATTGGTTGCACAAGTTGTACAGCTGTATGCAGCCGCGCGGACCGGGCGGTGTCATGGCGGCTTGCACAATGCGCCGGGCGTGGGATTGGTCCAATGTTACGAGGTTTATTGCTGTCTGTAGGCAGACAACCGCTTTTTGTTGCTGTAGGACTGTGCTTATTTACGCAATGGATATAATATGTTTACATACCACGAAAAAAATCAATGCGACATTGACATAGGTATAAAAATAACAAATAATCTATCTAACTACTTATGTAGGGTTGCACACCTGAGATGGTGACAACGATTTGAAAATCCTGCAGCCTAAATAATAATTCGAGTGGTGGTCCTACCCAGGCTCAATCACAGTACAGTTAGATAATATCTAATAACATTTTTTTTTGTATTTTCACATTGTCTCCTCGCTCAGTACGCTGCGCGCCGCACTATTGTTTTACTCCTTGAGCTAATCCCTTACAAATATTTATGGCTATAAGCTGCATTAAAAGTTACATTTATTGCCTTTTAAATGTGTTTTACTGGGACTGCAGATATATAATGCATACGTTGTAAGGTTGGTAAAACCAGAACCCGTCGATAAGTTACAGACTGGCAATAGTTTGTTTGACAATAAACAATGTGTGATATTCAAAACACAATAACTATTATAATATAAATAAGTGCGTATAAAGGTGGATGAGCATATTTATTCATAGTAAAGTAGACAATCTACAAACTGAGAGTTAACAGTATTGGTAGCTCGATGTTAATGTATAATGAAGGTGTGGCTGGGTACAGGAGATCGGAAACACAAATAATTACATCGCAACTGCACAACTGCCGCTGCGTAGCTACCGATGCAATCGATCGATCATGTTGTCCAGCGGTGGGCGACGAGGGCAGACAGCCCATTCACCGCGCCCAGCATTGTGCTACAGACTGATGAACTTACAACTCCGGGACTACTGCTGGGACTGTTGACTGAGCGACTGTATTCATAGCTTACCACACGCAGACACTGTTGTTGTAACAATTGGTATTTATTTAAAACGATCAATTACTAATGATGCGCTTGTTTTGATGAGATTTACATTACCTAATGTGTATCCGCTCAATAGCTGTTTACGCTAGATGTGAGATTATTCCCAGTTAGCGGTAATTGGCACAAAGTTCAAGACATTTGCGCAGAGAACAAAACGTGAAGCGACAAACAAAATCATCAACAAGTAAATACATTAAACGTCATTAGCCATTCATGATAGATTCAGATATGATAGAATCATGGTAATAACGTGTTTGAGTAGTTTTCGACTTCCTTTGCTTACATGAATCCAGTTCTATTAATTTATAGATTAACATTATGTGTAGCAGCTTACAAACCGCATTTGAATCCTTTGTACCTACAGCATAGTCAACTGCCAAAACTTCGTCACGGGAACTTACAGTGAAGATATTTCTCGTAGCTCACTTGCAAACTGAATAAATGGTCAACATTTTCAATTAGCGAGGGACGGACAGTGCGAGCTGTTATACCAATAACAATATACACTGAAACCATTTCCGCGGCATCTCAGCACGCCACTCATGCGCATATCCACGACACACGGTACCTTGGAGCCGGCCGGGCGACACTAATGTCGCAACTGTCGTCCGGCAGTAGCATTGTGTATGTAACTCTTTACTGCGATTATGATGTCACGGTGGTCCGGTGAATAGGATCTGTCGCTTTCATTACACAATGCCACTTTTTACACTAAATATGACGTATTTCAATTTGTCTGAGAGTATAAAGCTGGAGTAACTGTCCGGACGGTATTATTAGTTCGCAACGTTGATTCTTTAATAACCAATTTAGAATGAAAATTTTTATTTTGCATGTAGTAGGTACAAAACATGTCTTATGTTGAATCAGTGAACGTATGTTCCTATATTAGTCTCGAAATCTACTTACAATTTTGCACTATTCTATCTGTCTAACAATGTTGTTGTCATCAAGAAATTCATTAGTACTTCGGTTTACTGTGAGGCTGTGATATCACTCCGGTGTAGTCGGTCCACTCGTGCTGAGCGTAGCTCTCCCACACTTAGTAGTATGACTTAAGACGCATCTTAACAACATGAGCTTGTGCTCTCTACACAGTCAGACAGACGCGCTTACTAGAACTCACACTTACTTGTTTGTTAGACGTAACTATTATAGCTGAGTAACAATACAATATAATTACTGACCAGCTGACTGAGTGTCATCTCCACGTAGACAATATTAACAAAACAAAAGCCGTGCTAATGTGCTGGTGACTGCGTGCTATTGTGTGCTTTATTGCTTCTGTAAACTGTAAGCCACTGCAATAAACAAAAACACAATTGCAAAGACAAACAAATGCCAGCCTGCTTTAGATAACACGTAATATAGTAAGACAATGCTCCCGTATCTGTGCCGGGCATGTTTAGCAGCAACCTGCGGGCGCGGGGCGGCGCGAGCTTTGTGGGCGCTATATTATGCCAGTATGGCTGCCAGTAGTAGTGGCGGAGTAGTTTGTAAATTATAACACGTGTTGACTGGACGAAGTACCATGTCATGACCATTGAACATGCGTTACAGTCTGCGCGACCGAAATAAACATTGGTCTTGTACTGCTTCCATTCATGTATTGAATTAGGAAAGAGGATGTAATGTAATAAGCGGGAATGTAAACATTGTCATTTTCACAAATAATCAAAGTAGAAACACATTCTTGGTCCTGATGGCCTAGTACAAGTACACACAACATAGGTTCTCACACATCTACTTCACTAGCTTTGACCTACTTCAGCGACAGTTAATATATTTTATTGGTACGAGTCAATTTAGGAGTTTTCGATCAATGTAGTAACTGTATAGGTATAGGAGTATATGATTTCATATTTTGAATAAGAACTGGTTGTACCTTTATTTTAAAACTTTATTCATTTCAATTCGTTTATTTGCGTTCTACAACGTTTTTTAAAGTCGGCAAGTTAATATACCTATTATATACACTTTATAATTTATTTATTAATTATAGCATATACAATTTATTTATTAAGTATTAGTATCATTAGTGATGTACTAAGGTGTATCTGTTACCACATTGGTACCTCAGTAATTCAATTAGTCTATATGAATCGGTATTTACAAAGTATTTTGTATTTACAAGATATTTGTGCAGACATTAAAGCGTGTAGCGACAAATAAAATGATTAACAAGCAAATATATTAAACGTCGTAGTCAAATTATAATAGATTCATTCCTTTGCAGATTTAGAATATCTTAGTTGTATTGTATAAAGGTCTGCATCGCTCCCCACCACCGAACCCCGCCCTCTCACTATATAAGAGCAGGCCACACCCCCGGCCCGTCATTCCTCAGTTACCCGAGAAACCTACCACACGCAATAATGTCTATTTGGCGGCCTTACACTTTAGATGACGTCGCCGCGGACGTCCCGCTAAACCTCACTGTGACGCAGGTGTCGCAATCAGATGAAGTGTCGTTACCATACCCGACATGCCCGTCGAACCTGGCATACCCGGAGTACCTGCCGGTGCCTCCGCAGCACTACGGACCAGGCTGGATGTCACCAGGAGGTAGTTCAGGCTACCAATCCGCGAGTGCGCCATCACCGTCACCTGTCCCGTGCGCCGCCGTTTCTCTACGAGAGACCTCGACTGCCAACCTGGAAGATGGAGACATATCGGACGATGAAGACTTTAAAATTTTTGAGAAGACTGCCATGGACGCTATGGCATTGAGAAACGGCGGTACAATACTTGCAAGTAATCCGCGCATGCGTCGTACCGTACGCTCCGCGGCTGAGGACGACGCCTACCGACACACGCGGGAGAGGAATAACGCGGCGGCGAAGCAGAGCCGGGACCGGCGCAAGCTGCGCGAGATTCACCTCTCGCTGAAGGTGACCTACCTCAAGCGGCAGCTGGCGGAGCTCAAGGCGGCGCTGGGCTCCCAGACCTGCCCCCGCTGCCACCGCTCAACTCTGCTGTAGTTCCTAGTGCGCATACTGACCTAAAAATGTGC